CGCCGTAGCTGCTCGCCTTGCCCACCAGCACCGAGTAGAAGATGAAGTCACCCAGGCCAAGCTTCACCCCTCGCTCCTCGTCCTCCTCCTCCTCAGTGGTGTCATTTGAAAGTGGTGGACCGTTTCGGGCAGTGTCGTTTGGGTTTGGATTTACCGAAGGCTCATTCAGCTGTGGTGGAACGTTTTCAGAGGATCGTCGTCGAGATTGTTGTGGCTGGACGACAATCACCTCGGATTCCTCTCCAGGTCGCTGCTGCTGCTGCTGTTGTTCGGGCGAAACGACGGCCACTGCTCTTCGCTGCTGTTGCTGGTGTCGATCTCGAACGTCGAAGAGGACATTTGCCTCCCTTCCATTTCCACTTCCATTTCCACTTCCATTTCCACTTCCATTTCCACTTCCTCCATTCCCAGCCCCATCATCCGTGGTAGCTGTGGTCATGTAGGCGACCGCCGAGGAGTAGATCAGCGCCGGAAAGATGGACTCATTGCGCTCCTGGGCCGTCTCCACCAGAATGCGCAGCGGCCCCTTGGGCGCCAGCACCGCCACCAGGTCCCAGACGGAGATGACCCCAAGCACCACCCAGGTGGTCCAGTCGGGGAGGAACTTGATGAAGACGAGCGCCATGAGGGCGCTGATCATGATCAGATAGCCCTGCTGAAGGAGGAGCGGCCCGCGCCAGTGAATGCAGATCATGCCCACCACGCCAAAGTTCCACATGAAGAGGGCGACGCTGTAGACGTCGATGGGGACGTTGTAGGCGCGCAGCACCTCCGCCAGGTAGGTGAAGGTGAAGAGGAAGAGCATCATCAGCGAGCTGATCATCAGCCAGCCGTGGATGATCTTGTAGCAGCGGAACTTGTAGAGGAGGATGAGGACGGTGGTCATCACGACGATGAAGCCGAGGAGGATGAAGGCGTTGGCGAAGGACTGGAGGATCTTGGTGGTGTTGTCCACGTTCTGGTCGGTGAAGGGCGTGTAGATCATGTAGACGTTGGTGGAGCGGTAGAAGGAGATGGTGTTCATGGTGGCCACCACCACGAGCATGCAGAGGGAGACGGGGATGAAGAGCTTGATGACGTGCTTCGCGCCGTACTTCAGCTCCTCCTCCTCCATCTCCTCCTCGTAGCGGCGGCGGCGTTCCTCCATCGAGGCCGCATGCTGCTGCTGTTGGTGCTGTTGTCGCTGTTGACGCCGCTGGGC